CCCAAGGCCACGCGGGGACCCGCCCGGGGACCAGGGGCAGCTGCTGCGCTTTCCCAAGCCCCAGCCGCTCTCAAGGACCCTTGGGGGTCTCCGAGGAGCGTCTGCTTCCCCCTGGGGTCGCCGGCTTCGCTCCTCCCTCCGTGCCCACCTCCAGGCGACCGTAGTTACCTGTTCGCGCAGACGCGCTGATGCGAAGCTGTGCCCTCCCTAGGCCGCAGCCGGCTGGAACCCGCATCACGGTATCCAATCAGAACGCGCCAATGGAAAGTGCCCCAGCCGCCTTGCACATACAAGATATATGTGGTCAAAGAAGATGCCAATCAAAGTAAGCACCAATGAACTTATTAGTTGTTTTCTGAGAAGGCGGCTCTAACTCGGCTGATGCAATGGCTGAGAAAGACGGTTCGCGATGTGCCTTGTGACCAGGTTGGACGCTTCATTGGGAAGACCAACATTTTGATTTCCACTGGCAAAGTACTAATAGTTGACATAGTAACAAGAGACACAGTAACTGCGTTTGGTTGAGGTGACAGATCTTGGTATAATTCTCTACATTTTAGTTGTGGGATGATATGCAGACCTCAAAGGTAGAGCTTCCACCCCTCACTCACCGGGTACTGTGGGTTGAAAGCAGGGCCTTCTCACTGAGCTACACATCCCTAACCTTTTTTTTTTTTTCCTTGCCAGGGTCTCACTAAATTGCCCAGGGGCTGGGCTCAAATTTGTGATCCTCTTGCCTCAGCCTTCCAGAGTGCTGGGATTATAGGTCAAATTCTCATGTTTTCATGGAAACGCTTGTCCTTCTCAGACCTTCTTGAATTTGAAGAAATGATGTAATAGTAGTTAAAGGACATCAGGCTTTCCATTACCCGAAAGGTAATAAATAATATTATTATTTTTATTTATTTATTTATTTTGTACCAGGGATTGAACTCGGGTCCTTGAGCTTGCAAGTCAGGCTGTGGAACCACTGAGCCAAATCCCTGGCCCAATAGTTAATATTAAAATCGAGCCATCGCCTCAAACATTTCACACAGGTTCATTTAATTTTTACACTGCATATTAGATATGCTGGTGATACGAAAATAACTCAACCTGTCAGATGTCACATTTGCTGAGTTTGTGGTCTCACAACAAGGAGGGAAGTCGTGAATGGAAGAAGTTTGGAGAATTTTATTGAAAGTAAGGAAAAGAAGAATAACTCCAGTATTTCCAGGAGGGGTCCTGAGTGTGTTGCCATGAGGCTCTTTGACAGGAACAATTTATACAGCTAAGTCACAGTGTGGGTATGATGTGGGTCAAGCTACAACCAACATACCAAAAAATAAAAATAAAAATCTATTAAAAAAAGAACAAACATGTTCTTGGAAAGGAATGCATCCAGATGCTTTGGTCATTCACCTATGCATCTGATGCCTTTCAGGACTCACTGGACCTGGTGGTGTGATTACAGTATAGTCTGAAGCTGCTGTTTCTCTCTAGGGAGTTTTGCAGGCCTGGCTCTTTAGATTCACCTCCAGCCACAATCTTTGTGCTGACTTCCTCAAGGGTCCAATCCCTCTCTATAAATTTCTGTCTAACTTAGCTGTCTGTAATACTGGCAACCCCTTTTGGAGATGAGAAAACTATCTTGCCCGAGTTTACACAGAATAGTGAGTTGCAGAGCCAGAGTACAAATTTTTGTCTAACTCCAAAGCCTATGCTTTTAACTATTTCTTTATTGTGCTACTGATATAACATGGTTATAAACCTTGCAAAAAATTACTTTTATATGTAAGAGAACATCCTACACAAATAGTAAAAGTACCCCATACAAATAAAAGACCAAGCTCAAAAGCCAGTAAAGAGGCCGGGGATTTAGCTCAGAGCCACCACACCTGCCTCGCAAGCACTTAATTTAACTACTCAGTTCCAGCAGCTCATTATCTGTACTCATCATACAAATATTTGTTGTTAGTATATAGTGGGTAATGACCTAAGCTTTTCATTGCCACAAAAAATTTATACCTGGTTGTTGTTACTGTGTATTTTTAAAAAATCCTTTTGCAATTCTAAGGATCAAACCTAGCGTCGACATGCATGCTAGGTAAGTACTCTACAGCCAAGCTACATTCCCAGCCCCCAAAAATAAGGGTTGAAAGAGTTTGACTTATCTGAGGGATGTGTATTCCTTTTTTTTTTTTTTTTTTTTTTGGTACCGGAGATCGAACTCAGAACCTTACTTTTTATTAACCAAATATGTAATGACTATGTCTTCGCCCCTGAGGATCAACGTTTTAAAGAGCAGACACTACCCTGCCCTCATAGAGTTTCCAATTACAGAAACAGACATTCTACGACAAATGACAAAGCTCCATATGTATACAAGGACGCCCTCTTCAGGAGGTAGCACTAGACCTTGCTGCAACCCAAGCATGGACGCATGCGCAAAGTCCTGTTCCAACCCCTTAGTTGATTGGCTGGCAGGGACCGGCTTCCAGGCCTCAGCCAATGACGCTTGGGCTTGGCTTAGCCAAAAAGTGGTCGAGGTAGTGTAACCGCCATGCTGAGCTGCGATGGCTGGAGCTGCTGGCCGTTTCCGAGGCCGACCCTGGGGACGATTTCCACTCGCCCTGCCGGTGGCCAGTGTGAGTATATGTCGGCGTAGAAACAGACCCTGTTTTTAATATTTAGACATTTTCCCCACCCCTACCTCTGTTAGAAGGGGAAAGGAGTAATGATACGTAGTGTTCGAGCCTTTGCCGAAAGTTAGACCCCGGGTCCCAGCCCTGATTCTCGTGGCCCTCCAGCGTTAAGGCCAGGTGGGAGTGAGTAGCGCAGGCCGGATTCCAGTTTTGTCAGCTGTCCCTAACCTACCCCTCTACCTTCCCCACATTCGACACCAGGTTCGTAGGTTCGTTCTTCAATTTTTGGTGGGGGGGGTACAGGGGATTGAACTCAGGAACCTTGCGCTTGGGAGGCAGGCAGCGGCACCACTGAGTTAAATCCCAGGTCCCCAGGTTTGTTCTTATCTGGAGTCTCACATCGTTGACGGTAGTTGTCGGGGGTGGATGTAGGAGAGTCTAGAATCAGTATTTTTGTTTTTTTTTTGGTTTTTTGAGACAGGGTCTCACTATGTAGTTGAGACTAATCTGGAACTCACTATGTAGCCCAGGCTGGTCTCGAACTCACAGTGATCCTCCTGCCTCAACCTTCCGAGTGCTGGGATTACAGCTGTGCGCGCCCACGCCTGGCCGTTTTGGGTTTTTTAAATTTATTTAGGTACCGGGAATCAACCTCATGTCTTTGCACTTGCGAGGCAGGCGGCAGAACCACTGAGCTAAATCCGACGCTCTTGATTTGGTTTTTACAGCGCAGGGGATGGAACCCAGGGCCTCTTGAATGCCGTAACTATATCCCCAACTTTTTTTTGAGAGACAGAATTTTGCTAAATCCTGGGCTCGAATCTGTAACCCTCCTGTCTCAACCTCCCACAGCATGTTCTGGGATTATAGGTATCTGTCATCGCACCCAAGCTTGAAGCTTATTTTTAAGTGGTTTTATTTTTCTCTTTATTTGGCGATACTGGAGATCGAACCTAGGGCTTTTGCACTGAGCTACATTTGAGCCCCATCCCTACTTTTTTAAAAATGTCCAAGGCTGGGCTTGAACTTGCAGCCCTCCTATTTCAGCCTTCCAGAGTGGTAGGATTGCAGCATGTGCCACCTACACCAGCCTTGTTTAATAGAAAGAGCAACACAAGTTAATAGTTTGTACAGGAAGGATAAGCGCCAAATTGAGGATGGATCTTGCCTCTTGAGAGACAGGTAAGTAGAGAGTGGGCTTCAGTTGAAGTGCTTTTGTTGATGGGGATCTAAACCAGGGCCTGGTGAGCTAAGCAAGTAGTGTCTACCACTGAGCTACATCCCCAAACCTTCCCATCCAGATAGGATCTTGCTATGTAGTTGAGTGCCCTGGCCTCAAACTCCTTGTGATCCTCCTAATTCAGCCTCGGGAATGCTGGGATTAATAGACATGAATTACCATGCCTGGCTCCCAGCCCTTCTTTCAATCCTGTTTTTGGCATGGGGATTGAACTCAGGACCTTGCACTTTAGAGGCATGTGGTATCACCACTGAGTTAAATCCCCGGCCCCCTTTCAAACTTTTTATTTCTTTTTTTTTTAATTTCTTTCTTTCTTTCTTTCTTTTTTTTTTTTTTTTTTTTTTTTTTTTTGGTGCCGGGGATCGAACTTGGGTCCTTGTGCTTGCAAGGCAGGCCACTGAACTGCTGAGCTAAATCCCCGGCCCTCTTTTTTTTTTTTTTAATTTCTTAAACCTAGATATTTGTTATATTCCCATTCTTTTTTGCCTGAAATACAATTTTATTGTTTATTTTGTTTGTTTGTTTTGATACTGGGGATCAAACTCGGGTCCTTGCACTTGCAAGGCAGATGGCAGAACCACTGAGATAAATTCCTGGCATTTTTTTTTTCTTAATAAATTTTATTTTACCCCATCCCCCTGCAAGCCCCCTCCCTTCCCTATGTACAAAAGCTTTGTTTCCAATTTTAAAAGGAAAATGAACACATGGAAAATAATTTCAGAGGATAGAATGTACACAAAAATAAGGAAGTTTTTCTCTAACCCTAGCTTACAGCCTGTCACCCCGGAAGCATCTTCTAGTACAAGTTGAAACTATAGTATATAATCCTATACCTCCTGTTATTTAATTCTTCATTAAACTTTTTTGGAAAAAAAATCTTTAACCTCCTTTTAACCCTGTGAACAACATAAGTTCTCTGGGAAACATTTCTTAGGGTTGTCTCAGACTTGAATGATGTTCCTAAGCTGTGTTTGCCTTTTTCTTTTTTGCATATACACACCTGCCCACCATCATTTGAGATTAAATTATTGTAGTAGAAAATTGGCTAAATAAGAGATGTTAGAATTCTGTCGGGTTGCAGGAAAATGCCTGCCTTCTTTTTAGGGAAGTATTTAGTTAGGCTGGGGGAAAGCAAATGTCTCAATCCTTATTTTACATCTTCTAAAATCCTGAAATATTTATTTTTAAAAAATCTCCTGCCGGGATTTAGCTCAGTGATTCTGCTGCCTGCCTTGCAAACTCAAGGTCCTAAATTCAATCCCTGCTACCCCCCGCAAATATTCCAATTAGTTACGCAACCTTTACGTAGGAGAGCTGGGCTTCTAACCCAGGAGGGTGAACTCCATAAAAGTCGTGTATTTGCTAATTAAGCCACTCTTGACAGTTCCCCCAGGAACCTTATCTATTCAGTTTCACAAAGGGGCTTGCTCTTTCATGCTGTGATGCTCTATCTGCAGCACGTTTCCCTGCCATATATAAATATATATAATTTTTTTTTTTGTACTGACGCTTGAACTCGACCCTGTGCTTGCAAGGCAGGCGGTGAAACCACTGAGCTAAATCACTGGCCCTCCCTGCCATATTTCTAAGTACTTTCAAAGTTAAACTACTTCTGGAACTTGTGTGTCACATTGCTTGTGGTAGTAGGGATGGAAATCAGGGCCTTCTCACTAAGCTACATCCCTAGCTACTCTCTCCACTTTTTCCCTTAAAGTTTATTTTTCAATTTTTCAATTGTTATTATTATTATTATTTTGCGGTCCCAGAGTTCGAACTCAGGACCTTGTATTTGTGAGGCAGGCGGTGGCTAAATCCCTGGCCCTTTCCCTTAATGTGCTGGGCTTCACAGGTGTGTGCCACCATGCCCACCTAAGGTGGGACAAGTCCTTAACTAAAGGGGCCGTTATACAGGGCTGCTGGCCAACATGGGGACTATCTCAGTCTGGAAAGCGAAACAACTCTCTATGCGTTTTGGCAGCCTGTAATGGTTCGCTGTTTACTAATCACTCTATGAGCGTCTCCTATGCCACTGTTCTGGGTGGGAACGTGATTTTGTTCTGTGGTTGGAGGATCACTTGATCCGAGTTTAGCAGTGTGAGAAAGCTACCTCAGTTGGGTAAGAAATAAGAAAGAGTGTGGGCCCTGGGAACAGGGGTGTAGGGAGGGGTTCTGAAGGCGACCGGAGCAACAGCCCAAAGTGGGTGAGCGCCAAGCCTGACGTCACTGCGGTGCGCCGCTTCCGGTCCCCAGCGCGGTGGTAAATGAGTTCTCTCTCGGTGGGAACGGACCCGGGCTTGCCCTGACCCCCTAGAGCCCACGATCCACCGCATCAGCAGAGAGTCCGACAGCGCCCACGTCCCACACGCGCCTGGGACCATGGCCACTGACTCGTGGGCTCTGGCGGTGGACGAGCAGGAAGCGGCGGCTGAGTCTGTGAGTTGGCTTCACCTGTAGAAGGGGCTGTGGGGGACTAGTTCTGATCTCTGAAAAAGGACGTTCTGTGAATTGGCCGGCGCAGGGATTGTGGGTCAGGGGAGGAATGGAGTCTGTACCAGGAGCTGGTTTTTATCTGGCCACCTCCACCACCTTATATAAATGCAAGAGGATGCATTTGGTTAAAGCGCCTAGTCGTCTGCTGTTTTCCTAGAATCAGAATTGAACATAGCTTCCACTCACGACCCTGGATCATACAGTAATTCCTTTTTTAGGTGTCATTTTCCACCTTCAGATTCAGGGCTTCTTAGGCTCAGGGACCTTACTTATCTTACTCATATTTCTGTACTTCCTCCAGCTTGCTCTTAGCTGATGACTGACTCAGTGAGCTCTGCATAACTTTTTAATTTTTTTCAGTACATTGTAAAGAAGATGTGAGTTAAATATAACTGGAGAATTAATTTCCTCCACATAAACATTGTAAATTCTGGTAAGACTTTGGATCTATTTCAGTTAATGCATACTCCTCCAGAACTCATAGAATTATCATTAAAAAATATATATTTGGGCTGGGGGATTTAGTTCAGTGATTCTGCTGCCTGCCTCGCAAGTGTAAGGTCCCAAGTTTGATCCCCAGTACCCCCCCCCAAATACCGATAGGAAGTTTATTCTGGCCCACAACTTTTTTTTTTTTTTTTTTTTTTTTTTTTTTGTACCAGGGGTTGAACTCAAGACCTTGGGCTTGCAAGGCAGGTACAGCTGCTGAGCTAAATTCTCGGCCCCAACTTTCTTATTTAAGTTATGAATGATAAAGTTATGAAGTCAGGTGTGATGGTGCAACACTGCCTGTAATCACAGTCCTTGGGAATCACAAAACAGGATCATACAATATGTAATCTTTTGAAAAGTATAGCTTCTTTTCACTAGTATAACGCATTTGAAATTCAACTGCATTGTTGCATGTATTAGATGTGTGTATGTGTGTGTGTGTGCGATACTTAGGTAGTACTTGGGAGACTGGGGCAGGAACATCATAAAGCCAGCTTAGGCAGTTTAGTGAGAGCCTGTCTCAAAAATAAAAAGAGCTGGGAATGTAGCTCACTGGTAGAACACCCCCAAGTTTGATCCCCAGCACTACAAAACAAAACAAAAAATCTGTCATTGAATGTCTTTTTATGATTAAATATTAAAATCCTTTATACTTCATCTATACCTCAACTTATACACCTCAGCCCTGTTAACACATTTTAGGTTTTAATTATCACCATAGTAATAACAAGTTTCCTGTAAATACTGCCAATGAATCAGTCTGTATATCTCTTTTCCCTCCTTCCTTCCCTCTCTCTGTCTTCTTCTCTTCCTCATAAAATGTTGCTTGGAAGTTCAGTTGGTGAGAACAGAATGTATTTTGGGAACCTAACATTTCTTTTGTGTGCCCCACGTCTCTCCCTGTCTTTCTCCCTATCTCCCCAACCCTGGGGTTGAATCCAGAAACCCAGGGCCCCACACAGGCAACTACTTTGCCACTGAGCTACATCCCAGTTCTCTCTCCTAAAAAGTTTTGACTTAAACTAGGTTTCTTGGCAGGATGTGGGGGAGCTGCTCTAGCAATGACTAAAATGCATTGAAGCCAGATGTGGTGGCACATGCACTCTGGGAAGCTGAGGCTAGAGGGTTAAAAGTCTGAGCCCTACCTGTTTAGCAAGACCCTTTCCCCCCAAAAAAATAAAAGGATGGGGTGCAATTCAGTGTTAGAGCACTTGCTTAGCCTGCATGAGACTGTGGGTTTAAACCCCAGTACCACAAAATAAGTAAGTAAAATAATAAAAACAAGATGTAGGTCAGTGCAAAAGCCCTGGGTTGAATCTCCAGTACAAATAAAAAATGCATATATTGAGCATCTCTCATATCTCATGCACTGTGCTGATGGCCTCATGGTTAGGAAGACTGTTCTCCCTAGGTGTGGTGGCGCACATCTGCAATTCCAGCACTTAAGCCTGAGGCAGGAGGATCGCTCTGAGTTTGAGGCCAGCCTGAACTACATAGCAAGACCCTGTCTCAAAAAACAAAACAAAACAGGACTGGGTATTTAGCTCAGTGGTTCTGTGCCTGCCTCCTAAGTGGAAGGTCCTGAGTTTGATCCCCTGTACTCAAAACAAAACATTGTTTTATATCCTTCAGAATTAATGAAGTATTTTTATGGCTTTATGGTTTCTTTTTTGCCATTTTCCTTTCTGGCTGTCTTTGCAGTATGTTCTCCCTCTGCCTCCCTCTACCCAAGTCAGTACAGGCCAAAACAAGAAACTTTGTACCAGTGTCCAGGAGTACAGGTGGGGCCCCTTCATTCCCAACTAACCACCTGTGGCGGCCAGCTTTCCTGTTGCTGGGGCAAAGTATGTGACGCCCACAGCGTACAACAGGAGAGGTTTCATCTGGCTCGGGTCAGAGGTTTCAGCCCGAGGTTGCCAGGCTCCAAGGCAGGAACATCATGGCAGAAGCGCGAGGGAGCAGCATAGTTCACTTCCTGGCCGCAGGGAAGCAGAGCACAGAAGGAGAGCACCAGCTGGAGATGCACCCTCCACAGGCAGCCCCGGGCCGCCTCCCACTTGGTCCTCTCCTCACAGCACATTCTGCTGAAGAGGACAGCACCTCCGTGTTCCCACGAACCTCTCCAGGAGTCTCTTAACCCAGTCAGGGTGGGCGTGGTGGTGCACACCTGTTGTCTGGGCACTGCACTCAGAGAGGCTGAGGCAGGAGTATCACAACTTCAAGCCCAGCCTGGATGACTCAGCAAGATCTGGTGTCAGAATAAAGAAGTGTTGGCTGGGGATTTACCTCAGTGGTTCCACCGCCTGCCTTGCAAGCAAAAGGTCCTGAGTTTGATCCCCAGTACCAAAAAGTTAAAAATAAAGAAGTGTTGGGGTTGGAGGCTGAGGTGGCTGGCTAGATGTGTGGCTCAGTGTAAAGGCTCTGGGATTAATCCCCAGTACTACAAAAATAAATAAAAATTTTAAAAATAATTTTTTAAATTCTTGTCTCCATCCTTCCTTTCATTTTTTGGACTTGAAGGAAACAAGAGAAATGAGCCTCAAGACAGAGAATCTCGTGATAGTTAAATAAATAACCATTTCAGCTGTGAATTTAGCTCAGTCCTGAGTTCAATCCCTGGTACCAAAAAAGAAAAAAGAAATAACCATTTCTCTGTAATTGCAGCACTTGGGAAGCTGAGGCAGGAGGATCTCTGCAAGTTTGAGGCCATCTTGGGGTACACAGTGAGTTCAAGGCCAGTCTGAATTACATAGCAAGATCCTGTCTTAAAAAAATAAAATAACCATTTCTCTGTGCTTGGTGATGCATTCCTATAATCCTAGCACTCAGGAGGCTGAGGCAGGAGGTCACATGTTTGAGACCACACTGAACTACATAGTGAGATTCTGTCTCAAAAAAAAAAAAAAAGGAAAGGAAAGAAATAACTACTTCATTGTGGTGGTTTTCATTCTTATACTCTTTCCCAGATGATGATGTAGGTCCCACTTAATATTATAGAATTAGTACACTTTCTTTGTACTAGATCCAAGTAGAACATCCCCTATCCTTAAGGTATTTACATTAAGAATGGAGAGATAAGTCTTGCTAGGATATTCCTAAATTTTGTTTGACAAAGTCCTAATGATTTTTTTCATTGAAGTGTTTCTCTGATTTGCCTCTTCCTTTCTAGTCCCACCTCAGGCTGATGGGTATTTTGATGACACAGTGTGCCTTATAGTTTTAGGATTTTAGTTAAAATGTTAGACACACAGCACAAGGCAACTTGAACCTGATGTTGCCTATCATTGTGCTGCGGTGCTTTGGCTTGAACATACCCTGCAGCTTAACTGAGGCCAACCCACAGATGCTTTGGGTTGTAGGCTTTCCTACTTGGCTCTCTGTCTAAGGTGAGACTACACTGGCCAGTGTCTCTTTAGATTTCCTCTTTTTTGGAACCTGAGAGAAAGGATATGCCACTACATCTTTGTAATTGGGGCATTATGCAGTCACAAATCGTAATTCTAGAAATTATAATTAGGGATTATAGATTTTGAGCTCCTTGTAATCATCTTTTTTCCCTACTGCTGTATTTGTAGGGAATTTTGTTTATTCTCATTCAGGTACTCTAAGTAGCTGGATATGGTGGTATATGCCTGTATCCCAGTACTTGGGAGGTTGAGGCAAGAGGATTACTTCAAATATGAGGGTAGCCTGGTATACATAGTGACTTCAAGGCCAGCCTGAGCTTTATAGTGAGATCCTGTCTCAAAAAGGAGAAAAAGGGCCGGGGATTTGGCTCAGTGGTTCTGGAGCCTGCCTTGCAAGTGCAAGGACCTGAGTTTAATCCCCAGTACCAAAAAAAAAAAAAAAAAAAA